TATCACAGGTTGTTAATGAGTCTTTCTCCAATCCTGATGCCGTGTTCTTCTTTATATAATTCAGCTTCTCGGGCTATTTGCTCAGCATACAGATTGAATAAGTATGGTTAAAGGATACAACCCTAATGTACATCTTCCCTGATTTTAAACCACACAGTATCTCCTTGTTCTGTTCAAATGATTGCCTTTTGGTCTATGTACCAATAGCTTCCATCATCACAAGCCAGTACAGTACAACAAAATGACAGATGAGTGGTGATGTAATAGGAATAACTGAGGTTTATTAAGCACTTACTCTGTGGCACACACTGTTATAAGTGCTAAAGAGAGACAGGGAAGGAAGGAAGGAGGTGCTGTCAAATTCTGTTGAAATTAAATTGGTACACTTTTCTAGGGTAAATGGCCATAGGAATCTAAAAGTAAAACAGGTGTCTCAGCATCAGCATGCAACACTTAGAGTAATAAATATACTTTGAGAACACCAGGTGAAATACAAGGGCTTCATTGCTTTACGTCCAGGGAAGCTAAGGAGAATCAGTGTATGGCATTTGCAAGATATGGGGAAAGCTAAGATATCTACAAATTAACTCATGTCCCTCAAACTCACAAAAAGCTACTCTGTTCATAATCTTCTCTGCCTTGTCAGTGCTGCCCCCTTTCAAGTGGATGGTAGTTCTAAGTCTCTGTGTGTGTGTGTGTGTGCTTGATGTTTTAGAAATTGGTGACATTCAAGGATGTGGCTGTGGTCTTCACCAAGGAGGAGGCGGGGCTGCTGGACTCGGCCCAGAGGACGTTGTACCAAGACGTGATGCTGGAGAACTTCAGAAACCTGGTCTCTGTGGGTGAGGACAGCCTCCCTCTGGAGTTTCTTTATCTTCTCAGGTGTTCAAGGCTTTGGGGCTCCTGGAATAGCCACCTATATTAGAGGAATTGACTCTACTACCAACAATTTTTTTGTGAAATAGAGTAGAAAATACTAGAGTGGCTTATTAAAGTCCTACATATTCTAATCTTCAGGCCCTACTTTCTCTCTGAATACACCACCTATCTTTTTCTTCTTGCTGTTTGTCCTTGTAGTTTTCCAGACATGGCAATGATATTTTATTAGTCTCCTGTTTTAGAAAAACTTACTGCAAATTTGGTGTCTTAAACAACACAGATTGGTTGTCCTGCAGTTCTGTAGGTCAGAATTCCAATATGGGTCTCATTTTGCTAAAATCAAGATGTTGTCCAGGATGCATTCCTTTCTGGAGACTCTAGTACAGAATTCACTTTGCCTTTTCCAGCTTCTAAATACTGCCAGATTCCTCCGAGTGTGGCCCCCGTCCTGCATTTGCAAAGCCCACCACATTTGCATCATTCTAACCATTCTGTAGTCACTTTTCTCTTGAATACACTGAGCTCACCAGATAATGAAGGGTATCCTATTTTAATGTTAGCTGATTCACGATGTTAATTCTATCTGTAGCCAAATTTCCCTGTAATGTAACACATCCTCAGTTCCTGCAATTAGGAATTAAAAACCTTTGTGGGACCATTATTCTCCCTATTAGATGCCTCTTTCTTCTAGTCCTCTACTTGCTTTTCTTTCTGCCTTGATTCTCTTTTACCTAATGTCTTCTTACTTCACTCAGGTCTCTGCTCAGTTTTAATATCACAAGAGTGGCCTTCCCTGATCTTACTTAATACAGTGTCCTATCTTTACTATCTTGGTCCTGTCTTATTTTGTCACACATATTTTTTTGTCTCTTTGCTTATGACCTATTTCTCCTATTAGAATGTTATCTCCAGAAATGAAAGAATTTTGTCTGGTTTTCTCATTGTTTTCTCCTCAGGGCCTAGGATTGTCCTGGTACATGCTGACTTAATGAATAAGTGAGTGTACAGCGGGACCTCACTGTTGTCAGAAAGGCATACAGTAAACACAAATCACCTCAATAATATGTCAGAAGGTAATCAGTAGAATATAAACAGAATCAAGGGGGTTGGAAATTTCCAGAGGTGAATTGGCCACAGACTGGATTTATTATTTTGCCTTGAACTCATTGGTAGATGACAACTGAGTAGAGGCCTCAAAGAAGTATGGAACCATCCATGCAGGTATCTTAACCTGGGTAGAAATCCTGGCAGAATGTACCTCCCTTTGTAGGGGTGGCTTTCAGAAAATTGCACTGTGCCCTGTTCCATTCCTTCTCCCCAGCTCTGTCACTGTTGTCAAAGAGAAGCTTGCACTGGTTCACTTTTTCTTTCTGGAGACTATGAAGCCTGTCAGATTTCAGAATAGTTTATGTTACCACTTCACCTTTCTTTTCCCATTGTCCTTCTAGAGGAATTTTCTCAGCAGGAGCTAAAGGGGTTCTGTCTACTTACATGCTGTGTTTTAGTCAGTACGGGATAATATTTTTTTTCTCCCAAACATGCAATTATTACAACCATTCCTGAGCCTCTCAGTTCTCTAGTCATTTTATTCCAGTAAAATAAGCCAAAATAGAATTATACACAAAGTGATGAAACGTCTACAAAAACAAACCAGGCAGCTGTTCATTGACTGTTCCTACAGGGGGAAAAATGACATTTTCCTCTGTGAAAATTTCCTTAGAAATACATACTAATGAGAAATACATCTAATGAGAAGTTTAATGAAAAAAATAATCTCAAAAGGCTGAGATATCTTTGTATAAATTTAGAAACTTTCCAATACCAAGGAGAAAACCATTATAGAAAACACATTTCTAAACTTAAATTGTTTTAGAGATTCTACAGTTTGTAATAATTGTCAACTAATGTATTGTCCATATCAACACAGAAAAGTAAGATTCTGTGTATGTACTTTTCAAAGTTTTTAAGAATACTTTGAATATGTAGATATAAACACTTGTAGCTATGTGATGTTTAGGATTTATAATGTAAACATTAATATGCTAACTAACATGCTAACTTTTGATTGTATTACACCTTTTCCTTACAGTTCCTGTCAATTTATTTTCCTTATGAACATACTTTTTATACCTACATAATTTATTATCCAAGATTCTATACTGACTTTGAAATTGAATAGAAATAGCAGTAGCTTACCAATTTGTATGATATTAAAAATTTCTTAATGTGTTTGATTTTTAATTGTTCCTCAGACACTTGATTTGATGTGGTCTAATGAGTTCGTTTCATACTTGTTTGAACCACCTGGCACTGCCTTGGAAGAAAGGCCTGGCAATCTGTTATCCCAAAGATTACATTCAAGAAAACCCTATGGAACATGTCTACTTTGTATCACATAAGTTGCCATGAGTTTAAATCAACTTAAAGGCAGCAGGTTTTTTTGTTTTGTTTTTTTACATTGGCCTCAATGCTAGTGGTGGGGAGCCCCATGGACCTCCTCTTGGTTTTTGTTGGTGTGTAAACGAGAGAACATTATATGCAATGGAAATAATATCAACCAAATCTTCTCTGGATTCATTAACATTTCAAGCCCTCTTCTAAATGTTGAATCTTGAAAACAAAATAACTTTCACCTATCTGTATCTCTGAATTCTCTTTCCTTACAGGAGGCAAGATCCCAAAGGAGATGGATCCTGCTCCACAAACAGGGCAACAAGAGGAGCTTTCGTGCTGGCAAATCTGGCAACACATTGCAAGTGATTTACTCAAGTGTCAAGACTCCATGATAAATAGTTCTCAGTTACATGAACAAGATGATTTGGCCTGCCAGGTTGGGGTAGGATTATCTATTACTCACACATCAGAGAAACCTTATCAGTGCAGTGAGTGTACAAAAACCTTCAGTGATGTCTCCAGCTTTGATCTTCATCAGCAATTTCACTGTGGAGAGAAGTCTCACACATGTTCTGAGTGTGGAAAAAGCTTCCGTTATAAGTCAGGTCTTCATAATCATCAGAGAGTTCACGTGGGAGAGAACCGCTATAAGTGTTATGAATGTGGTAAGGAATTTACTCATAGCTCACATTTGCAAAATCATCAGACAATCCATACTGCAGAGAAACCACACAAATGTGAGGAATGTGGGAAAGGCTTCAGTCGTAAATCAGCACTTACTGTTCATTACAAAGTCCACACGGGAGAGAAACCTCATGGTTGTGAGGAATGTGGGAGGGGCTTCATTCATGCTTCACAGCTTCATGAACATCAGAGAATCCATACTGGGGAGAAACCATTCAAATGTCATGCATGTGGTAAAAACTTCCGTCGTAGATCAGCACTTAATACACATTGTATGGTCCATACAGGAGAGAAACCATACAAATGTGAGGAGTGTGGGAAAGGATTCACTTGTAGCTCTAACCTTTATATCCATCAGAGGGTTCACACAGGAGAGAAGCCTTATAAGTGTGAGGAATGTGGTAAGAGCTTCATTCAGCCATCACAATTTCAAGCCCATCAGAGAATCCACACTGGAGAGAAACCATACATATGTAAAATGTGTGGGAAGGGCTTCATTTATAGTTCAAGTTTTCAGGCGCATAAAGGAGTCCACACTGGAGAAAAGCCCTACAAATGTGAGGAGTGTGGGAAGAGTTTCAGGATGAAAATTCATTATCAAGTTCATCTGGTAATCCACACAGGAGAAAAACCCTATAAATGTGATATATGTGGGAAAGGTTTCCGTCAGCATTCATATCTTAAAATCCATCAGAAGGCCCACAATGTAGAGAAACCTTACAAATGTAAGGAGTGTGGGCAAGGCTTCAATCAAAGTTCACGCCTTCATGTTCACCAGATGACCCATACTGGTGAGAAGCCATATAAATGTGAAGAGTGTGGGAAAGGCTTCAGTCGCAGGGCAGATCTTAAAATTCATTGTAGAATCCACACAGGAGAGAAACCCTATAATTGTGAGGAGTGTGGAAAGGGCTTCAGTCAGGCATCACATCTTCTGACGCATCAGAGGGTCCACAGTGGAGAAAAACCATTCAGATGTGAAGAGTGTGGGAAGAACTTTAGTCGGAGTTCACACCTTGAAGCCCATCAAAAAGTGCATAATGGAGAAAAGCCATTTAAATGTGAAGAATGTGGGAAGGGCTTCAAGTGGAGCTTAAATCTTGACATGCATCAGAGGGTCCACACAGGAGAGAAACCATATAAGTGTGGTGAATGTGGTAAGTACTTCAGTCAGGCTTCAAGTCTTCAACTTCATCAGAGTGTTCACACTGGAGAGAAACCATACAAATGTGATACATGTGACAAAGTGTTCAGTCGATCTTCACAACTTCAGTATCATCAGCGAGTCCACACAGGAGAGAAGCCTTACGAATGTGCAATCTGTGGTAAGAGCTTCAGTTGGAGATCAAATCTTGTAAGTCATCAAAAAACCCATGCTGTTGATAAATTTTCTGAAAGTGATAATAGTGGTAAGAACATCAGAGAATACTCACAGGAAAGACATTTTACAAAATGATGTTTTTTAAGAATTCAAATTTTCAACCTGAATTTTTGTAATCATCATGTCTCAGGAGAGAAAATAGGGGAACAAGCTTTTCCAAGGCCAAATATGGCTATGCTCTTCCTTGCTACTATTTCTTTTTAAATTGCTGAGCCACTCTTATGTATCACTTACTGGGGTGTCCTTGAAGGTCCAGAGCCCTGGCTCTATGCCACTAAAGCCATAGACAATAAAAACCTGTGCCTCCTTCTGGGGACTGTGAAGACTCAAGTCAACCCTGCCACCACCCAGAGACCAGCTTTGTCCTGTAAGGCTTTAATGAACTCATGGAACTGCTAGCCTCTTTCTTTGGTCTTACGCCACTCCAGGAAAACTTCAGCTTACTGATTCATGACTAAAGAATTGCCAAGCTAGCCGGGACACTGATGACATAGATGATAAGGGAGAGAGACATCCACCAAGGAACCCTGAGAACCAGCAACCTCCATGTGGAGAGGTTTGTTCATCCATCAGGAGTAATTCTGGGGGTCAGTGACCTCCATGTAGGGAGGCCTGGCCTGGCCATTGTGTGAATAAAGGAATGCCCTGAAAGCACATTTGCTGGGGAAAATCCTGTGTAGTACATGGGAAGCACTGTGGGGTGTGGGCATGCCCCAATAATGCCAAGCAACACCTTTAGACTGGGGGAAAGCATGTGCCTTCATAAGTGGAAAAGAGCCTAAGGGATAAGGGCTGGTGTGCAGAACAGTCACCACATTCTGCAGTTCACTGGCCACTGATGCCCAATTAGCTACGAAAGTGCACATAAGGTGACTGCAGGAGAAACTCCAGTTAGAAAGTGATGGGCAGCAGTTGTGTGGGTGGGCACGACTGATATTCAGAAGCAGGATAAGCAGCTAGGTTTGCAGGAATGGAGGTGTAGAAATATGCTGTTCAGGGAGAGTGGTCAGTGAACAAGAGCATAGAGCATGAGTCAGGGAATCTAGCCTCTGCCACCACCACCTCCATAAATGAGCTTTGGCCAGGGCCAGGTGGTGTCCCACCCCTCTTTCTCAAGCTGTGAAGGCAGTGAGAGTGAGCAGAGGGGAGGGAGAGCACTGGGAGGGGGCAACCAGACTGGGTCATGTGTGGGAAAGCTGTCTGCCTGTCTACTTTGCATTTACCCCTTGCTAGCTTACCTACACCACAATAGGGCTATACAGTGAATTCTTTGCTGCAGAAATCAAAGCAAGGATCTTACAGGCGGCCCCGCCCTCCGGCAATCCCTCCTCGCAGCTCACAGCCCAGAGCATCTGACTTAACACAAACCTGAAAGGTCTGGAGAGGAGGGTGTAAGCCATGGGAAGAGAAAAAAAAAAAAAAAAATCTGGAGACTGGGTTGACCATGCAAAAACCTCTTTAAGAGTAACACGAGTGAACTTACTGCAGAGGATGACAGTAGATGTGCAACCAGCTGCAGTTTTGGTCAACCTTGAAAGTTGAGGTCACAGCAACAACACTGCCCTTTGGGTCTACTTCTCAGTCAGGAAGTGCCCTTTTCCTCCAGGTGTACCCTACCAGTTCATAGAGACTAAGGATAGGGGCTGGAGTCACCAGTTGGTCAGAGCCCTGCAGAGGTACTGGAGACCCCATGTAGAAGTCACGATACATTGGTTAAAGAAAAATATACAGCAGGCTAGCTCTGCTTGAGCAGAGAGCATCCTCATCTTTTGAATCCCTGAGTAGTTTCAAGGCCGCCTACCCATCCTCATTGGAAATTGACATTTTATAAGTGAGTTCTCTGTGGGAAAACTCCATCTGCAAGGTAAAAGTAGTGAAAGCAATCCTGAACATAGTGTACCTGTTAGAAACCCTGAGTAGAGACTTGGGCACATATGCAGTGTTAGACCAGACTAATGGTTTTTGTTTTGTTTTTGTTTTTTTAACTATCCCTTTAGCCCTGTCTGCTTAGCACCTATTTGCCTTCACCTGGGAGGGACAACAATGGACATTGTTTGTGTTGCCTCATTCACACAGTCCCACCATCTGCCATGTTATGGTCTCTAGGGACCTGACTTTTTCTTTCCCTATTACTGCCTATTGGTTTCATTACATTGGTAACGTCATGTTAATTCCTGAAAATGTTTCTCTGCTACAAGATTGTCTAGTCATCCACCTACAGGGAAGAGAAGAGGCTGTGAACCTCCAAAGGGTGCAAGGGCCAGGAACGTAAGTAAAATTCCTAGGGGTTGCCTGGTTGAGTAAGACCTGTGGGTTGCCTGAGTTTATAAGTTGATAAGATACAAGCTGACCCCACCCCTAGGCTACCAAAAAGACTGCAGTCCTTTGTGAATTTTTTAGCGTGTTTAAAGGTATTTATGCCCCCCTTGACAGAGTGCTTGAGATTGCTCTGTCAATTAGTGAAAAAGATTGCGTCTTGGGATGGTCAAAGAATAATAGCAAGCTTTTAAGAATGAAGTTGTTGGTTGCACAAGTGAAAACCCTGGGCACCATATGAGGAGGACTGCATGTAAAGACGAACTGCCAGCACAGGCTAGCATATCACCAGAGCCACCTCCCTACTCCACTAAGAGGGGAGGAACCACTGCTAGCAGATGCCTGGTACACAGGTGGTTCTAGCTGAAGGCATGTGACAACCACTGTGGATGGTTGTGGCCATATAGGCCCCCAGTGTTACCATCTGGTTTGTAATTGGCTCAAGACAAAGCAGCAATAGGCCCTGTTAAGAGCTGTCTGGATGATCATGGATGCATGAGCCGTGCCCTTGCTTATCCTTCTGTACAGACAGTTGGGCAGGAGGCTGTGGATTAACTATGGGGATTGGCCAGTGGCATAAGGAACAATGGGTGATACCAGGCAAAGTCTTGTCAGGGAGAGCTCTGAAGCAGGGCATCTAGGATCGCCTCCAAACCTCCGATGCTGACCTGTTTTTCATGTAGCAGCCCTTCACTTCTTTCCCCACTGGACAATCAAGAAACTATACTATAGCACAGGTTAGAACAGCGCATCCAGAAGTGGAAGCAGCCCACTGGATTCACCAGAAAAACAAGGAGGTCTGGTGGCATAGTACCTAAGACACTTGACTGCTAACCAGAAGGCTGGCAGTTCAAACCCCCCAGCTGTTCCTCAGAAGGAAGATTGGGCAGTCGACTTCCACAGTGATACGACCTCGGAAACCCAAGGAGGGGTCACTATGAGTTGGATCCAACTTGACAGCAGTGAGTATATGTGATAGTTGAAGATGTGTCAACTTGGCTGGACTCCAGTTGTGAGTGGTGGTT